TATTTTTTCAATATATCTATCTATAACTGGATACATTCTGGATTTTTTGTATTTGAGAACAATCTTCATTTCTAACCTTCAAATATTTTTCAAAACAAAGTGTTACTGACAAAGATTCCAAATAACTGTGTTATATTATTTTCAATATACCTGAAATGTCACCTACTCTTTGAGAAATATATTTGATGATGAGATTTTCAAGCAGTTTCTTCATCCAACTGAAACATTTATCGAGTTATAAGTGGTCTGTAGCATCAAGTGCTAGAAATAGCAACATATCTCTTAGCAAGATGCAGTCTCCCATATGGTGTCGAAAAAACGTAGATGCAATTGAAAAAGTGAGTTTCTGACGATTTCCCAATACGACTTTTGAACATTGCCTGCACCCATATGGTACAAAATACCACCATCGCAGATATACATGTTTTTCAAACGACTATGGCGGTTTTTATTTTCAGAATAGTCGACATACATCGAAAATTGTGATCAATAAGTTGACATGAATCAGGTTGTCTGAATTAAAAGATCAATCGAAACGTGTGAAAAAAATATAGGTTTCCATGTAAAATAAGAGGAATACGAGTTGGAAAACTTCTAATCTGTGGCCTAATTGAATCATCCTGTATTGTACATTCGTGTTTGTATACCTATGTTCATATTATTAACTGGAGGTGCGAGTTCCATATCCACTAGAATAAACCTCTAAATATTCATTTGGTGGCATCAAAATTGTACTTAGATATCTCTGAAATAAAGCCTACCACTACTAAAATATGAATCATCCGAATCCCTGGAAAGCGAATTCAACTATCCTACGCGAATCAACTAGCAGTCTTGAATTTTGTACTGTTCCAACGGAATTTAGGCCATTTCGCAGAATATTTCATCAAGCCGGCTTCCTGAAGCAACCCCATTGAGAATAATTTATAGGGGCGTGTGAGGATATATTTCGCCCGATAAAAATACTGATATTCCGGCGTAAATCGTGATTTTATGAGGTTCTCGAGATGAGGCTTACGAATACTCTAACTGATGATAATGATGATATTAACGGTTATCACGAAAATATTAATGACACTAGCAGAATTTACGATGAGCAACGATATTTTCAGTTCTTCCTATGACTACAATCATTTCGATCTATTATCTTCACATTCCCACTCAAAAAGGAATTTATTTCAACTACACCGGGTGAAACAGGACACATGTAACAGCCTGTAGTTTTTTTATTTCAAGAGATGAAAATTTGAAATTTACAAGGGTTATATGATCAATGATGACGCTTTCCTTGAACCCAATAACAATTTTCTTCAACCACCTGTTTGATAGGAAGTGGACCCAATTTATGTTTTTCCAAATGGCAGCCTGTATACAGGGTGGGCCACCAGTAACGCCTCGGTCTCTAGAAGGCTAACCACTTATCTTCTTGGAATTCTTTCTCTCTAGGAAGTTGCATGTCAATATAGGCTACCATTTGAAATTATTTTGAAACATACAGGATGTCCCCAAAAATCACAAAACACTGAAGTTGAACTTGTTTCAATCGAACGCCCTATATATTATTTCATTTTGAGATTCTCCCTGGTGAGCTGATTTCAACAATCCATCATACTTGGGGTCTAGCAGTTATAGTTACTGAGATATAGGGTGTGAGAAATCGAGATTTTCCAAGTTCAAGAATTTTTTGTGTCGAAACTATTCATAATTGGTCAAAACGGCTCACATGTCCCTATCTCAACTTTTGATCAACTATCTACTGACATTCAATTGAAACAAATACAGAGTGGTGCAGAATTCAGAATCTTGATCACCCGGTATATGTCCCAATTAAATATCAGTAAATAGTTAATCAAAAGTTGAGATAGGGACATGTAAGCCGTTTTGACCAATGATGAATAGTTTCGACACAAAAAAATCCTAAAGTTGAAAAATGTCGATTTTTCACACCCTATATCTCTGTAATCATTTCCGCTAGACCCCAAGTGTGATACATCGATGAAATCAGCTCTTCGGGGAGATTCTAAAAATGCAATGAAATACATAATGTTCTATTTGAAAAATCAAAGTTGTTACTGCTTTCTAATAGAAGCGGCAACACCGCATTGTCGAAAATATTTTAGTTGGCTAGAGAATGTCCGAATATGCCCTCCATTGAATTTTCAAAATGATCCGTTGTCTGGTTCACCAGAAACGTCTAATGTGCAATCCACCGTGAATCAGCCTGTATAAGATAGAAACTCAGTTTTTTTCATTTGGCTACTTGTGAAGGAACCATTTGTCTTTTATTTTGGCCATGTAGCCATAATATGACCATCGATTTGAATACATGAAACTGAAATTGTTGTAATAATTGATGTATAGAATATTACAATTCAATGATTAATTGTCAAACTAGACATTTTGTGTAAAACGCCTACTGAGCGAAATGCAACTGGAAATACACTAATGTAGTCTTAATAAACAGATGTATTAGGACGATACATCAATTCTTATAACAATTTCAGTTTCATTAACCCAAATGGATGATCATATTATGGTTACATGGCAAAAATGAGAGATAAATAGTTTCTTCACAAGTAGCCAAATGAAAAAAAAGGGGTTTCTATCCTAGTTATTTTCGGGTGATTTCTTTTAAAATCAATGAAATTATTGACATATCCTCTGGGGCCGATAAGGGTATGGAAAATATTCTGGAAATATCGTCTGAGTAATGATCTTTGGATTTATGACCTTATCAAGCATGGAAATGTCATTGTATTCGAGCCACAGCCAACTAACTTCATGTATTTCAATAAAATGCAATTTAATAGCCAATTGATGAACGAATATCAAATTGTGATATATTGTTTGATGAAGAATTCAAAGGCGAATAAGATAGGCTACAAAAATATACAGGGTGCTATTTGAAAAAAAAAAGATAGGTCTAGTTCCAATCAAACAGGTGGTTGAAGAAAATTCTTCTTGGGTTCGAGGGAAGCGCCATCATCGATTATATAACCCTTGTGAATTTCAAATTTTTATCTCCCCGAATAAAAGAACAACAGGCCCTTACATGTCTCCTGTGTCACCCGGTATAGTGCTCTCATTGGTTTCCAAAGAAAATTTCAGAATATCTATACATCTATAGTTCAAATAATTGAAATGGAATGAAGAACCCAGTTGAAACCAATAATGAACTTGTTTATTATGTCCGCTTCAAGACAAGGATTGATAATGTTAGCCCATATATTTTTTCTACAAACGTCAAAAAATGACAAGGTTCGCGCATTGATAACAAATTGCGAAGTGACACTTTTTTTCAGTTTCCTACGTTACCACGACACAATGTGCGAAGCAGTGCGCGAAGTAAAACAGTGCGCGAAGTACCTACTTCGCGCATTGTTATGTAAAATATATGAGATATTTATATTTCAACTTCATGGTCCTCAATCGAACAAACATTCACGAAATCATTTATTTCTGAATGTTTAACAATAACTTTGTTTTATTTCTTGGAGCGCACGAAAGGAAATTCCTATTATGTTCATGGAACATCGTGCGTACCTAGGGAGGATAGGGGGAGGCCTTTTTAAGCCAGTTCAACACTATTTTCGATATCAAGCTAAGCATATTTTTACTCCAGAACTATATTTTTTAACGTTTGTAGAAAAAATGTTGTTTGCAACTCGAGCGCGAAATACTTTGGTCATCTCGACAATTTTTTTTAACTCGGCTACGCCTCGTTAAAAAATCAGATCTCGATCACCAAAGTAGCATTTCGCGCTCTAGATACAAAAATAACTATTTTATTGTTTTGTGATTGAAACCAATACTGATTGAAAATATTTCAGCTATGGAATCCTGTGCTCAAAATATGTAAATTTAACCTAGTCACCTAGATGAAATGGACATCATTTCTGTTACAAGATGATTTATTATTCATTTTGTTGAAAAATTTCAATATCAATATGTTTTTATCTTTCATTCAGTTGATATATGAATTGAAGTTTAATTTGTATAATGAATGCAATACAATGATCCGAATCATCGACAAAATTGATGGACATGGAAATTTAAATAGTAGTACAGCTTCATTTAATTTGAAATATCTCAAAAAATTATGACTTTATCGCTATTGCGAAAGAATACGATATTTACGTAGAAAGTATCGTGAAATTGTGATAGCAATTCGACAATTGGGATCGATCAATTAGTAACTTGCCCCTGTCGTACGCCTCTGGTAGTAGCCAGAAACGTATATTTCATATAATTCAGTGGGGTGTATGGTACACGTCGATTCGTTTCGAAGTACTACAAATAATTTTCAAATTTTCAAATGAAACACCCCGTAACTCAGACAGAAGACACATATCATCTAGGTGATTTGGGTTTAATTATCATATTTTCAGCTCAGGATCAGATAGTGAAAATATTTCTAATTTGTAATGAAAAACCTTGTATATTATGTTCACATGATTCTTTATAGAAAACTATATGGAATCTAGGTATAACACGACCCATATATATATATATATATACAGGTCTGTTTTGAATTGATAACTATATCTAGACTTCCTATAGGTCGATATTATTATGCGATATATTCTCAGAATTTTTTATTCCATTAATTTTTTCATATTTTTCCAAACATTCTCTCCCTCTCATTCTATAAATAAAAATATGAATATCATATAGGAAGGTCTTACTTTATGGAGGAAGTGTTGCTGTTGTTTCAAAAAGATAAATCCACTGAAAAACTGACTAAATAACACTTATATAGTTTGGAATAATTGAATCTTTCCTCAGTCAAAACAAACTGCAATACCTGTTTCTTGACATAGTGTTTCCATTATAATCATGTGAACACATCTCATTTCCAGAAAAAGTTGATCAGCGCTACCCGTGTCAGGGAGTTGATAAATTTGTTTTCAATAAAAGAAACCAGAGCATCGCGTAGAAGGTTTGAGTAAGCGATGTAAAATAAGAATCAACTATTTTCCCTAATATCGTAACCGACTCGTCTACAGCCCCAACCCGGCCGCAAACACCGTGGGCACCTCGAACCCCTGCAGCGCCAGCAAATCTCCCACCGAATAAGCCGCCCTCTGCCCGTGGATCGCCGGCGGTCTCATCATGCCCGCCGGCGACCTCAACGTGACCGCCGGCGCGACGAACCGCTTGCAGCCCGTCACGTCGTAGAGCGAGTAGTGAAGGGGCGTGGGCGCCGGCCCGACCGCAATGGTCGCCAGCGGCAGCGAGCCGTGACTAGCGGCGTGCAGGGGCAGCGGGTAGGGCGCGTATCGCAGGGCGGCCGTCGAGCTGGGGCCGCCCGCGGTCACAGGCCCTACGGGATTCAGCATTAGGAACTCACCGTACGCTCCGCGACCGGCGGCGCGCGTCTTGGCTAAGTTCGCTGGCAGCATTACTTCTTTCGGCTGGGCTTTCTTGCATTCGACCTGGAAGGAAAAATGATAATGATGAATTCCTCATTATCTGAAGAAGAATCTCGTTGACAAAACGGTCAGATTGTTCAACGGCTATTACACGAAATTGCTCTTGTCTTACTTTGTTCGATATATCAATGGGGTACTCTGTATGTCATCAATATTATTTCCGTATCTGATATCACAATGACTCCATTTTGTTTTCATTTCACAAAATCTGATCTCCCTTGGAATGTCAAATCTCTAGGAATGACAGCTCTGTCTAATAAATGAGCACTACTCAAGAGAAAATCAGATGGTTACAAGCCAAAAAAAACACTGTTATCTGTTACAGCCGTAGAAAAAAGTATAGTGCATGTGTTTAACTCGCACTGAATGCAAATTTCCCACTCGTATGATTTGCAGTATGGATTTCATCGTAGATTTTACTTTGACGGGTTAGCCTTTCAATGTTCCTGGACCGATCATAATCCTCGTTTTCTGACAAAAGGAATTTATTTCTGGGGAAATGTCATATGTCACTAAGGTCAGTGAATGTCCATACCAGACAGATCTGGATGGCATGATGGAGAACTCAGCACCATACTGCAGGGAAAGATCTGGTATACAGACGGGTCCAAGACTGCGAATGGGTCAGGAGCAGGAGTATACTCCAAACATCCGGAAACTAGCCTCAGCTACTCATTGGGAAAGTATGCCTCAGTTTTCCAAGCAGAGGTGTACGCAATTCGCCAATGTGCGGAAGAAAATAACAGGAGAGCTGTGGAAAACGAGCAGATCCGTATTATGTCAGACAGTCAAACGGCACTTAACGCAATAGGAAACCAAGAAGTGACATCTCGACTGGTATGGGATTGCAAGAGGGAACTCAGAACTCTGGCAGACCAGAACTGTGTCAAGCTAATCTGGGTGCCAGGTCATCAGGGGATCGCTGGCAATGAGAAGGCTGACGAACTTGCAAGAAGAGGGTCGGACAACGAGCCAGATCCAGGACAGACTCTTGGAGTACCAAGACGTACAGCACGAGTGTCATTTGAAGACTAGATTCAGACAAAACATAAGAGCTACTGGAAAAACATCCCAAGAAACAGACATGGGAAACAATACATTGAGGAACCAAGTCATAAACGAACTGTTGACCTGCTCAACTTGAACAGAGCACAGATAAAAACTGTTACGGGACTCGTGACTGGCCATGCGCTAGTAAAGAAGCATCCCGCCAGAATGGGACTGTACAATGGCGACTCAAGCTGCAGACTATGTGGCAAGGAACCAAAAACAGTAGCACATATACTGTGCCGATGTGAGGCATTGGACTGCAGAAGACAGAAGATCTTTGGGCAATCAGTTGGCGAACCAGAAGTATTCAACTCACATCCAGTGAAGGATTTGTACAGACTTGTTCAAGGTACAGAGATAATGGAGTGGGCACAGTAAAGAACTACAAGGTAAGATACAATGGGCCACCATAGGCCTAGGTGTCGTCGACATGGTCAGACGAGCCTACAAACGGGGTGGAGTTTTTAGTGGGTAAACCCTGGCTAGAGTCAGAGGAGACCCATATGGTGTCCATGAAGGATTTAAACCACCTCGACAAGAAAAAAATAAACAAGTTGACATTCAGGGCTACTGGGTGATTGTTAGTAGTGTCTGAATGAATGATGAATACTCGAACCAAGTTTTCTTCATTGCAATAGAGGTTTTCTGATTCTGCTATATTGCTATTGAAAAGTTATTTATTCAATCGTTATCGTATCGTTATCTTAGACAATGATACATAAAATTACCTTGCGAAGCTCTTCGGCGTCCCACAAGGCTCTATCCTGGACCCACTTCTTTTTAGAAATCAAGGGTTAGAAGCTTGCAATCTATAGTCAATCACCTTGTACATATCTTCATCGTTGAAATTGCGTTATTATAGTAGAAAAAAGTTAGGTACTGAGGATGATATAGAACTGTCCAAGATTTCTTCATAGTATACCTGCGTTATGAATACATTTATCGCGATTCTACAGGGTGAACAACCAAGAACGGCTGTCATATCTGTCATTCTTCCAACTTTGATAGTTGATATCTTCCGTTGGCGGTAAGCTATCATGTTGCGGTTTTCGTTGGTCTGTTGAGATTCAGTTTCTCTATTACATCGTGTAATCATATGCATACCATTAGATTCATTCTATCCCAAACTTGTATGATTATTCGTTGTTCACCCGGTACTTGCCAAAAATTACAGTGGAATACAAATCGACCGCCACCTTCTGGAAGCAGGGAGAACGAAAAACAATTATAAGCGGGCTTCCACTCGGTATAGAATGGAAAAAAACGAAGCATTGTCTCTTAATGCCATAGCAGAGCCAGCTCTTTTTGACAAATGTCAACTGATTTATGAGCTGGTCGCGTATGCAATTAGATGGGGCCAATTAGATGATGCGAAATCGCCCGGGATTTTTTCTAGAAGCGTTTCTTTTTTCCAAAACCATCAGGAAAATATATGACCAGCTTAAAATTCTAGCCACTACCGGTTGCTGTTCCGACACTATTTCAATATCTCTCATTGGAGGGGTGTTATTTGCCCCACTCACATGGAACCACTTCAATATCTCATTTTCAATTCGATGTCATATTCCAATATAGAGGGAAACCACATGAAAAAATCGCAAACAATATTTTGTCGCCTTGAACACACTGTTGATAGCACAGTTCAACTCTGTTCAGCAAGCTTCAACTAAATACCAGGGAAAGAGCAGCGTTAGTCTACTAAATACGGCAAGGAGTTCCATTGTTGGATTGTAGAAAGTTCGAAACTATGTTTGCCATCTGGAAACACCAACTTTACGCGTAAATTATCCATACACAGAGTTGAATTCATTGCTATACGGAATTCTGAAGAACACACTTCAACTGTAGGTAGTGCATAAACGCAATTAGATTTCTTCAGAACATTGTAAAACATGTTACAGAACGTGATTTATTTATTCAGAGCAGAAGTTGGAATGATATTTTGAACAAACATTGAGAGGTTGTCTGGAAGTTGAACTTGTAAATCTCACATCCTCAAGTGAAACTTTTTATCTCCATTCACAATTCCATCATTTCACTGTCGAGCTTTTTTTCTATCGAATGATCTATAAGGCACAGATCCGACCTGTCCTGGAATACTGTTTCCTTGGAGTGCAGCCCCAAACATACCCTGAAACTGTTGGATGTCCGAGATTATGTCCAAAAAAGGGCAATTCGTCTCGTGGGTGATGCTTCGCTCACAAACTCACTCACTTCTCTGGGACACCGTAGAAAAGTTGGCGCTCTGGCTCTATTTCATAGATATTCTCATGTATGATGCTCTTCTGAAATATCAACAATTGTTCCTCCCTTGTCAGTCCCCGCGAGATTAACCCGTTGAGTTGAGGCTTCGCACCCATTCGTGGTCACTTTGGAGACCTGCAGAACATCTCTTTCCAAAGACTCGTTCATTCAACGAACAGCGTGGCTGGAACACATTGCCAAGAGAGGTGTTTCCCGAGGCATATAACCTCTAGAAATTCAAGAAGAACATCGATTCCTACCTCATTTCCCTTGGTTCTCACGATGTTCTATGAACTTTACAGGATATCCCTTCACGTGGGAACCAGAACATAAATAAATAATAACAACGGACTAATAATGGATCTTTGATGGACATTAGGAACATATTCCAAGTAGGTTTGTGAGTTGTGTAACGTGAGAATTCTCCAAATTTGTACTTGGCAACGCTGGCGCAGATAATGATAGGAAAGTCCATGTGACAGCCCGTTATTAATGCTCGGCCGTAATGAGAAAGCCAAAGCGCACGCTTTCCACCTTTTTCGCAAGAAAAATGGGCCCTTGAAACTTTCCACCGAATTTCCAAGAGAACTTACTTCTCGGCAGAGAGGTTTCAATATTTGAAACTCGACAGCCACTTGAGATGGTAGTACAAAAGGAAGGTTGGAGGCAAATGGAAAAACTATATTGATGCCTGGAAAATGCATCAGAATCATTCATGATGATAACTTGGAACTTAATATCAAAGTATATTCTTAGTCATTATTAAAAATTTTTCGGGATTTTCTCTCCTCGTTTCTATAAAATAAAAATATGGATATTATTTCAATATACGTGTAGTAAGGACAAATCAGATGATTTGCCCCAAAATGTCACTACGTTTAAAGAATTTTCCTATCAGAGAGCCTAAAAAAAAATTCACTAGCTTGTCAGTGACAATTTGTATTGAAAAATTTTTGGAGAACAGAAATAAAGGTATATAGAAAAACTATAAAATTTTCACTTATCTTTGAACGTTTCGGGATCGATTCTGCTCCCGTTTTCAACATGAAGAGATTTTTTCAATTGCGAAGTCGTATAATATATCTTGAAGATTTTCAGTTTTCAATGACAATTGGTGACGTTGGCAATCAAAGTAGTTACAGGATGTTTTCATTAACTAATCTTGAATTTACCATTTTCATGTTCAGATTTTAGTAGTGAATACCATGTTCTGTCTATATCAACTGAACAAGAAGTCTCCTTTCAGAAGAATGCAAGCAGATTCCTTGATTTTTCTCTTCTGGTTGTTATCTTCTTTTCCAATGATTTTAATATTATTCCACTCTGCCATATATTCTTAGTTACAACAAGCAACAATGGTAGTAGGAAGAGGAGCGTGGGGCATTTTCTTGAACTTTTTGAGATTACGAGTTCTTGGAAATATATAAGGCAAAGAATTCAAATACATTGTTATTGATGTCCATCTTCCAGAATCTTACGGCTCATGAAAGACTCTGAGAATTCGGAACATGCCCTCTTCTTTCCTTAATTTAACCTATTACTTGGGGAGAATGTAGGGTGAACATATTCTGAAGATGAATATACTAAGAGAACTTGATTGGTTTCAATTATTTGCAATTTGAATTGATTGATTCCCATTTCATGAACTTGTTCAATGATATGTAGCTACTCTTGTAATTTCGGCTTATTTGCTGTCACAAAATTGATATGACGAGTTGATAGTTTCTCTCCCATTCACTACTCAATTGAAACTGTAAGAACACTACTTCCGAAGAAACATATTTTTGCGTTTTTATGTTGAGTACGGGAGCAAATTCGAATCGTCCAGAGATAAATGGAAATTGAAAATTATTACAATATATCTATATTTCTTCTCATCAAACATTTTTCCACAAAAAGTGTCACTGACAAGCTATTGGATTTTTCTTTCAGGCTCCCTGATAAAAAATTTATTGAACGCAGTGAAATTTTGAGGCAAATCATCTGATTTGTCCTTTTACATAACATATTGGACTAATAATCATGTTTTCATTGTATAGAAACGAGGAGAGGAAATCTCATTTATCAAGTGAGATAGATATAACTAGTTTTTTAATTCAAAAATCTAGGTAGCTCATAGAACTTGAGAACTATAGCCTTCTCGTTTCATCAACGAAATTATTAGCATGATTGGACCATTTTGAATCTTTATCAACTATATACATATATACAGTGTGACCCACTTCTAATGGAACCACCCCTGTATCTTACGAAATCGTTGGGTAAGGATCCTGAAATTTGCTGGAGCGAGAGATATACCAAAAATGCACTCTATGACCAAGTGGGGTCATCTTCAGTGATATACACTGCTCGCCAACAGCCATGAAACTACCCCAATTTCCGGAAAATGATATTAGGAGTCAAAATAGGTCGAAAATCACTTCAGATTTGGAATCAGGACGCCCAATTTACTGACTATTCAAATTTTTCCTGTGAAATTTTCAGTTCGGAAAAATGAAATTTTGTCGCATTTTTTATGGAAGCACCCCCGTATCTCACGTAATTGACTTTATCTTTGGACTTTCTCTTCCTCCGGCAAATTTCAGAAGCCTACCTCAATAATTACAATAAATACGAAGTTCATAACTATAAATTGTTTTTCTGAAATTTGATCTAAGAAATGAAATCTATTTCTTCGCATTGTGCTATTGTCAAATTAACGATATTGCTGTAATCATGTAGTGAAAAGCTTTTTATTTTTTCAAGCGGAAACCGTGCATCAGATTGAAAAAATTGTAGTGATCAAATTTGCTTGAAAATGATTGTGAATTTCAGGAAAGATTCGAATTTTGAGATTAATCAGCGGCGTTCCATCAATGTCAGCCAAAATAGATATGTGAAGTTCCATACGAACGCCACTGGTGGCATCAAAAAATGTGGTACACTAACTGATGCATCTTGATACATAATACATGTATAACAGATATTATAATGAAAAACTATTGATATTTTTAGGTTATGTGAGTGAATGTGTACAGAGCCCTTTTTTCTCTCATGTCAACCTATTGTCTGTGAGGAAATCTAGATAGATTTTCATTCCATGAAATTTGTTTTCTTTGAATCCCACTTTCATCATGATAATCAGCTTATTTCCATTATCTTTCACAAATTGAATGAACATTTTTCACTTTTGGAGAAGGAAAATCTAACTCACTTGTTACCCGAAATCAAATGGATGATGATTTAGCAATACTGAATTGGTTGGAACTCCTATAGCCAACAGTTATAGCAATATTCACGGATGAATAAAAATTCCATATCATATTCATCATATCGATCTCTAATCCCCGAACGATAAACTCCAGGAAATTCAATTACAGAGGGACAATAGGATTGATTCTCTCTCCTCTGCTTCATCGTGACCAAATCAGGAAAGCTCCAAAGATAACCTGCATTCCAACTCGTTAATGCTGGCTTATAGTCACATCGAGCTTTCGAATCCGAGGCGAATCTTGAATCAGTATCGAATTATTGTGAGTAGAAAAACAGGAACACCGAATTATTTATTCATTATCGACTTTGCATAAAATGTCAGATTTTTTCAATGTGCACATGGGATGATACGGGACACTTCAGCCTTGATGGTATATTATGCAAACATTGCCGTTGGGATTTTCGAGTGATATATCAGCTTATATCAACTAATAATCGGGATGGAACTCGAAATCATTCTGATTGCTTGATTTAAATTAGTTTGAACATTCACTCGAACTAGTAATTAGAACCTATTGGCAGATTCCCATCTCAAATTAATAGCGTATTAATAGGTATACGTTTCCTGTCTCAAGTATTCGATATAATATCCGCAACTCGAACGAAAAACAAGTGATTCTATATTATAGAGGTAATATACTGGTAGTTTCGAATAAACCACAAAATAGTAATAAATATTTTATGAAACATAAAATCATGCGCTAGTAGTTCGTCCTAGTGAAGTTATATAATAAAATAAGTTAGTATAAGAATCACTGTGGATTTAATAACCTATATTCTCACATCACGTATATGTTTCCCAGAATTGCTGAACAGTGATATTATGTTGTTTAATAACGGTATGTCACAGAGATCTGAACAAATACACATCATTGACTTACCATTTTATTGTTAATTTCGTGGAAATGGATTTCACAGACTTTATCTACAACGTCTTCGCTTTGAAATGTGACGAAACCAAAACCTGAAACAAAAGAACATATTATGAACTGCAATATTGTCATTTGTTGCTCTAACATAAAATGTTTATGATATTATCAATAAGGCGGACAGTACCTATTTACTAATATCATTATTGGTCTTAGTAGGTACTTTGCATATTTTCTAATACATTCGATATACAGCGTCGTTCATCAAGTCGGCATCAAATGGGGAAAAAATTATCATAGTTCATTCAGAAATCAGACTCGGGCATTGAGTGTTGCTTAAAAAATATGAAAAATGGTTCACTTGCTCGAAGTAACGTGACTTTCGCTTCATGTCAAAAAAGTTTGAAACTGTGAAAAGTTATTTTTATTCCAATTCTACACATTATGTGTATTGAATTTGAAAGTTCATCAACACAGGAAAAAAATAAGTGAAATTTCACTGAAGGTCCACGCAATAATGTTTCGATTTCGGTACATACCCGATTGAGTTGAAATTTCACTTTTCACTATTCAATTATATTTGTTGCTAACATTTTCATTATCGGAAAAAATTGATAAAATATTTGGTTCAAGTTGAGGATCCATCCAAAATTTTCAATCAGTAAATCAACTCACCACCACAAATGCAGCCACTCAAACGAATTATCTTCAAATTAACTTTCAGTTTTTGATATTTTTCCAATTTCTACGAAATATCTGTGATATTAGCATCGACAAAACGATTTCATTCTGGTAGCTTTCAATCACTAATTATCGACAAAAATATGATTCTTTTCACAGAATAATAATCCCTGTTTCAAATCTCTGTTATTTTTGCAGAGTTGATGTATCGTCCATCATTCAGGAGCGAAATTAATTTGAATTTATTTTTCCAGTAATAAAATGATGCCAAAGTCATTTATCGAAATATCATCGTACTACTTCATATATCTAAGCAAACTTCATGACAGTTTTGTGAAGTAACAGTAAGGAGAAATCAAAAAATATTAGGAACTATTCAAATTCGAGAAACATTCATGGAATTGGAGATGAATCAATTTTTCTTATCAGGTTTTATTGGAATTTGAACAAATGAACCTACTTCCAGCGACTCAATTGAAGAATACATTACCTTTGTACATGTTAGTCACGTAACTCCGATATATTAGGAGATTCTTCATCTTCTTCGAAGCAAAACTCATCGTCCAAGTCGTATTTTGAAATAAAATATCATCGAAAGTTGTTTGCATTCAATGCCATCTTTATGATTGACGATGTATTGAAATAACCCATTTCAATGTATCATTCAGTATACTTGCGATGCTACCAAGAAGATGACTCGAATGATAATTACCTATTAGGTAATGTATTTCAATAGAACTGGAACGTGTTTGAGATACTATTGTTTCATGAATACTATCAGAATTTGCTACAGAACTAAATTTCTAAAAAACATGAAATATTGAAGGTGGTCAAGCAGCCACCACCCGCTTTCATTGCACACTGAATTGGCACATAACAGTTGCATGTGACTCTGGCTAGCTATACATTCTCCGCTATTTTCCAGATCACCATGTATAGAAGAGTAAAACAAGCGAATAAAAAGAACATGATAACCATGAATGATGCAAACATTCTTTCCCTATGACAAAAATCTAATATCCTTTATATAACATCTCGAAATCCAAACCGATGATTCAGTGACATCGATAAACAACAAAAGCGAAGCGACAGTTTCGTCCCTCCCTTAGGAAGATGCTATCTTGTAACAAACACTATATCGACTGCAGCCTGGGCCATAAATAATCCCTGATTCATGACCAAAGAGAACGTATAGACAGCTCGATCCCCTCATCTGACACCTCTAGATTAATTAGCCTGCCATGCCAGGGCAAATACGGCAGGGGTTTTTATAGGTTATTCGGTGAAAATTCAATTGTTCCAATAGATCACTTGATTTACGGGATATGTTGGGCCCAAAGTTGGATTGAACCGAAGTTGAAAGTTGATTTGTGGAGAGTGCAATATGTACCTCATTCTTGTGATGTGTGATCGGCGATACAAGATTCGATGAACTCGATTTGATACAGGTAGTGTCAGAAATATTAGTTTTCGGCAATTCTTCAATCATTATATCTTATGCGAATGAAGTGCATATCTGTTTGTTTTAAAATAACACAGGGTGTCCCTAAAAGTTCTTCACGAAAATTCACCACATATTTCTCTGTCCAGAATAAGCAAACTTAACTTAGTACGTATAGTAGTAGTAGTAGTTTTTTTATGATCGTTTTTGCTTCATAACTTTGAATCGATTCATAAGATGTTAATAAAATTTGGTACGTTGGCATAGACTCATTGTGCAATAAAATCTATATCATGATTATGATGAATATCAATCCATGGGGCAACTCTGGTAATCCTAGATATCTCAGTTATGAGATCTAGTGCAATGAATAGGATTGATGAATCTCGAACTCGAGTAGTCAGATGAAGATTGCAGCGTCCTACAGGGTATGACGAGACCGCAAGGTCCTACCTTGGAAATGAAGCCACCAGATGGCGATAGCAATACTCGATCATCATGCATTATCCGGCATCTATGGCATCTTCTCTGAGCCAAATCTTCTCAGTCTCAGAAAATGAGATGGTTCCATAGTGACTCTATAGAAGACAGTGACGACAAAAGGCGTATAAGCTCTGCTCATCCGCTATTAGGTGGCAAATTATTGCGCAGAAATTTGAATTTCTTGCCTCTTCAGTGGGTTCTGATTCACTATTTACATCAGATCATTCTTATTTCTGATTATCTTTCAGTAGTTGCTCAACAGACGAATTTCAGTAGTTTTGGTGGTTGACAACACCATCACCAGGTTAGTATGTCAATGAGGTTCAGAATTCATTGAAATTATTGAAATGGCCGGTTGAAACTTGGAGAATCTTCATTTCCTTATTCGTTATTCAAGAAGAAATGAAATAACATTATAAAAAAGCATGAAATTATATTCAAAAAATAAGTAAGTATACATTCACTATATACAACACAAATATAATATAGAAATTAATTGGCACTTGACTGATAAGTTCAATGAGATCTTGAGGTACACTTGTCACAATTTCTGATTCGGAATTTATCAGCAATTTTCTCTTGTTAGGAGCTTCTCTCTTGGTTTCAGGCTTTGTGCATGGAAGAAAAAATAGTTGTTGCAGAATCAGCTTCCAGTCTACGGCTTTCATCGTACCTATTTGATTCTTTTCCACATACACTGGTCCAAAATGTGTCTGAAAAAAAATTTCTCATTCGAGTATTTGCCACAATACCTACCTATATGCACCACTGATAAATCTGTAAGGATCTACATTGTTTCTGTTTTGATTGCCCATTCCTTCCTGTAATTTTGGTATTTTGGGATTTCTTTCTTCAGAAAACACTTTCTAGGCAAATTAACACAGTCCACAGCTACACACCTAAGCTTTTTGTATTATAACTGGAAAGAAAACTGCAATATGAAACATGGTATGAGCGAAGAGAATATTGTCAAGACAAATTGGAATAAATAATATGAGTACATACCACTCGATTTAAAAAAAAAATCAGTACTAGTGGATATTATACGTTGCAGGATCAATGCAGAAACCATATGAACTTAGAATGTCAATACATAGGGATGCGCAGAAACATAATTTCACACTAAAGATAAGTACGTACTCTTCTGAGTTTGCTCATTGCGACAGCATCGACGCCAAATCTGAAATGTTTTATGTCATCGTGGGAAGTATCAAGAGGATAATAACAAGTACATGAATTCTCCATGAATAATGTCAGGACAGTCATCAAGCAAATATGAAACTATATGACCCAGTGACTATTTTGCTAGAAAATCTCACAGAACAAATAGTTTGATATATCCACTTGGGAAGAGTGTGTGAAATGAAGAGCGTTGTTACAGCTGTCAAATGGAGTGCAAAAGTCTGATTCTGGTTAAAGCCGCAGATTACACTCGTTCACAGAATTTTGTAGTCTGATTAACGCTATATGTGATCTTTATCTGATTCATTTCATGAGTGATATTTCATGTATGTTATTGACACCACGCATTTCTGTATGCATCCAAGAAATCAAACGTCTGTATGCTGATGGAAAAACAAAAACTGGATTTTGGAAGTCAGTCCTGACCTCATTCGAATAACGTGGTATCATTGGAATCAATTTGGATCGAAAATTATACATGCACTGGCGATAGATCCACTTGAACCGTAGCACCCTATTCTTCTATCAATAATTCAGGATGAATCAAAACTGGATCATGGCAGAAATTCACATCCCAAATTGGACGTGTTGTTTCTTGTCGAATTGTTGAACTAGTCGTAAACACGGCCGAGTTGTACTCCGCTCATAGTCCGCAATTGTTTTAGTTTTCAGGCCAAACTAGGGTCGGAAGGACGGGTAGATTCAATTTTGGCCGCTGTTTGAGGTCATACAGAGGGTCGACATCGAATTATCTACCCTTATGATGGAATTGAATTCGAAGTGTTCAGATCACCTCTTCCGAAATTCGTGGGCAAATTTATGTAGATGAAATTGATAAAGAGTCACGACACTGTATCCGAGTTTCGAGTTATGATACTGCGTCCTTTGTAAAGTTGATAGAAATTTTGTACATCAATTATTGGACCCAGACATTGAGCTCCTTTTTTACCTCATCTCACAGTGAAATATCTATTGAACAGTGATTGTTGAGAGTTGAAAAATATGAATATTCATATGCGACAAGCATCTTACTGTTCAACAGCTTCTCATGATCCGCGATTTAGCCAGCCACTTGTTTTGGAGTGTTTCTTTCTTTGCCAGGTGGCGTTCAGCGTTCGCATTCATTTTGCGGACGTTGAACGCCTCGTGGGGTATAAATAATGAGATTCGTTTTGGTTGGGTCAGGTTCGCACCAGATAGCGGCCAAAGAGCTGTCTGGGACAGCCCTGCACTGGTGAGAGTCAACAGCTCGAAACCGGTCTGTCGGTAGTCACGCGTTCTTGAACAACTTAGGCGCAGCTCGGCGTT